ATATATATATAATATATATATATATATTATATATATATATATATAATATAATATATATATATATACATATATACATATATATATTGTAATGTTCATGAATCTATGCAATATGAATCAGATCGTGATGACATCACGATAACGAGACCGATTCGCCTTTAAACACAAACCTTAAATAATCATGGTCATAGGTTAGTGAAGAGGGACATCGAGATAACCAGACAGACTGGTATGTTGTATACCCGTCCATATGATGGAAGCAACTAGTCTCATAGTTGCTTATGTGGGGATACTGGGGCTACAGTGCAGGTTCACATTGGAGAATGAGTTCACTAATTAATCTACTCATGGAATATTAGATGGTTAATGATATCTCATTGTCAAACAACGATTCCATTATCCCAATGGTGTACCTGGTCCTTAGACTTGAGACATCAAGGATGTCTCGTATAAATACTTCGTTCTTTGATACCGAACTTGTAGACAGTTCTAAATATAGCATAGTCGGTCATCGGGAGTGGCAGCCAACCTTACGAGGACTATTGAGTGTCGATAGAGGATCATCCACTCTCGGTATCATGAGAAAATATCTCATGTGTTCTTGCTCAAACAAATCTCTAGCTAGGATCATTTGAATTGAGAGAGAGAGTTCTTCGGGAGAATCCAATTAGAGTGAGACTCGAGTAGAAACTGTTTGAGCCTAACAGTACCATGCCCGGTATACGATCTCTGAGGTATTAAATAGAAGATGGATTATAGATATATGGTAATTGAGGATAAACAAGTCCAATGAATTGGATTCCCCTATATCATCTAGGGATTATGGCGTAGTGGCCTAGTACGTCCGTAGTCGATGAGTCGAGTGAATTATTATAGAGATAATAATTCATTGAGCTAGAAGGAGTTTTGACAGGTATGACTCACGGCTAGCTCGATATTGGGCCTAGAGAGTCACACATATATGGTAGGCATTATGATGAGTAGAGGTTTAGATATGAGATATCCGCCGAAGCTCCTATCTTATTGGATATCCAATAAGCTCATGAATTATTGGATCATATAGATGATATCTAATAAGAGCCAATTAGAGATTATTAGATAGAGATCCACTAGTCTAAGAGGCTTGGGTAGTTGGATGGAAATCCAATACCCAATAGGGCAGGATCCATTAGGGTTAAGTTAATAAGAGACCTCTATAAATAGGAGAGAACTAAATACCCATAGGCTAGAGATTTCTTGGTTGCCACCTCTTATTCTCCTCTTCCCTTCTCCTCCTCAAATAGCAGGTGTGGAGATTTGGGCAGCGATTTGAGGAGCATCGTCGTAGCTTTATTGTGTGGATCATTGCTAGAGAGGATGACGCTTAACCTCCTTCACCCTATCTTTCAGATATGTAGGGATTCAGGGATATACGATCTCCTTAGGTAACATAACTATCTCACGTGTGATTTTTAGTTTCACAGATTTTACGCACCAATCTTTGCACGACAACGAACATATTTTTAAAAAATTTAGGAATTTTTGTTTTCTGTTCTTCCGCTTTGCATATGATGTCGCCCCTAGATTTCCCTACACAATTGTGGTGAAAAAGGACATTACAAGAATCAATGCAAGCAACTTAAGAATAGTAAGAAAAAGGGAACATAAGTGGAGCTTATAGAGTTCAAAGATAATACCACAACTACAATGCAGGGTAGTGACTATTTGATTTTGTCTATTTCTGATGATCTTTTTTCTTATGTGTGTCAGGATCTTGAGTAGGTGATTAACACAGGTGCTTCTTACCATGCTACACTACGGAGGGAATTCTTTATTATCTATAGGTCTGAAAATTTTACTCTTGTCAAGATGGGTAACTATGGCACGACAAACATTATCAGCATGGGTGATATCTATATAAAGATCAATCTTGGCTGCAAGTTGATGCTTAAGGATGTGAGACATGTGGTGTTAAATCTCAGATTTTGATGATGAAATCAATTGATAAATTATTTG